CTCAAATGGAGTATGATAGTTTTCTTGCTCATTATGAGAATTGAAAGTCGCACATCAATGCAATTGATTCCATGATTCGACATTGTCAATTGTATGGATTGGGTCATGTTTAAGGTGTTTCTCCATGGATCATTATTATTTTTTTAAATTGTGGCTAAATATAATGATAACTACATATCAACTTAAAAATTACTCTTAAAATAAACATTTTTAACAATGTTATTTGAGATAATTAATGTACGAATTTTTTTAGTGTGAACTGCCACTAATTGATGTTATTTGGACTTTTTATGAAAGACATAATAGGTCAAAAGCAATCCATTCAATCATTTATGCCTATCACACCCTATGGGGTCAATATATTAGGCCTAGTTTAGGTTCACTCCTTAATATCTTATGATGAGAGAGATTATTAAGGTAAACATCATTATAACTACAAGCTAACTCTTTCTCCAACCTTAACTGCAATTAATTGCTTTACTCATTGAGAATCGGATCTCAACTTAATTATTGATGAAAACTTCAAATACAAGAAAATTGATTATCTAACCATGTTCAAAATTGGAAATAGTTGATTGCTATTAATTATATACATGATATTTTATGATGATACATGTTATCAAACAAATTTCTCACACAAATCATCACACCATACCAATCACTCACAAAATATGCCCCCACCATACTCTCATTTTGTCTCTTCTTTTGGTTTACAAATCTGATAAATAGTTCACAGTTAAAGAAGTGTTTCCTTTGAAGTATATGAAGTACATTTTTAGAAATATTGTTCTTTGAAAGTGTCATAATCAATATTCAGTAACTAAAAGAGGTAAAAAAAATACATGTAAATATCAATAATACTTAATAATATTCTTTAAAAGTTTATATATACTAAACTTAATAGTGCAATAAATAATTTCACAATATTTAAAATAGATACACCATTTTTATTTGGGTTTAGGTTTGGAAAGCTTAGCTCACTGATCTTTTTTTTTTTTTTAATAAAGCAATATAAGTAATTTTTGAAGTGTATAATGAAAACAATGTCCAGATCCAAAGCATAACAATAGTACCGATTATTGGGAAGAAGATGGTTAGTAGATTTTTAAGAAACAACTTTTTATTTCAGGGAATAAAGTATTGAAAGTTAATTTTTATTGAATAACTTGAGAAATCGTTGAAATATATTAGAGATGGACAGCTTGGAATTTGGCATGTTAAATAAATAAAAAAAGCTACAAAAATAATAGTTATAATTTAAGACTTAATTAAATTAATTTATGATTTTGTGAGAGATGAGCTTTAAATATATAATTGTAATGTTTTTCTAGAAAAATATTTATTATATTAAAAATAAAAATATTTAGTTCATAAGAATTAAAATTAATAAAACGGTGATGAAATTGATTTACACACGAGTAAAAGCTCACGCTTCTTCATTGTTTTTTCTTAAAAACAACACGTGCAAGTCCTGTTAAAAAAAATATTTTAGTCCTGAAATAAATTAATTTATATGAGCACGTGGTTATAAATTTAAAATAATTTGTTATCAATGCTCTCAATATCAAATAAAAAATTAATTGTTGGATATTTAAAAACATTGATTTAAAATAAATGAAAAAAACATATATAAATAAACATCTAATTGTGACAATAATCGTATTCGTCAATCATAATTTTTAAAAATACGCAACACAACCTGAAATTTAAATTTGATAAACCTCTTTTTAGTATTTAAAATATCATCTGTAGAAATTATTTGATGAATAATCAATGTTCATAGATGTCATTATTTTCTTTCTCTTCTGCATCCTAAAATTCTAATTCTAGTTGGGCTTTCACATCAATTTCTGATGTGAAAATTATTGAGCCAATATTATATTTAACTGCTTATTTATTTCAACAAAATAATATACATTATATTATATATTTTTAATATATATTTAAAAATATATAATAAAATTTATATATTAAACATACATTATAAAAATTATATATCATATATTATATTAAAATTTTTATATTACCCTATACTACTATTTCACTCATGTACGAAAATTTGATGATAAAATAACATATTAATAAATATTATTATTTTTATTTAAAGTATTTTATTTTATTTTTATTATACACTGTTAGAGTAATTATTAAAAAATAATTTTTTAATAAAATTATGAAAAGGTTATTGTATTACAAATAAAAAATATTTAAATATTATAAAATTAATTATTTTTATTATTTTTAATCATTATAGATATAATTAGTGTGAGTGTGACTACTATTTTAGAGCAAAATATGTAAATATAGTTATCAAAAGAATTATAGAATATACTATAATAATTAATAAATATTATTATTTTTATTTAAAATATTTTATTTTGATTTAGTTTTATTTTTTTATTATACACTGTTAGGATAATTATAAAAAATATTAATTTTTTCATAAATATTATAAAAAGATTACAATATTATAATTAAGATAAAATATTTAGATATTATAGAATTAATTATTTTTATTAATTTTAATTATTATGGATACTATTAGTGTGAGAGACACTATTATTTTATAGTAAAATATATGAATATAATCATCAAAGAAATTATAAGATATATTATAATAATTAATAAATATTATTATTTTTGTTTAAGATATTTTATTTTGATTTAATTTTATTTCTGATTATATATTATTAAAGTAATTATAGAAAAAAATTCTCTCATATTAAAACTGATTAGAAAGTATATAATATAAATATGATTTAATATTTAGTTTAAACTATTTATTTTTTATTTAAAATATTTTATTATATCTATAATTTAAAAAAATTTGTTATTAGAAATTTTTAAAAAAAATAATAATTATTACTCTATAATTTTTTTAAACAATTATTTTTAATTTTATTGTATCTCTAATTCCAATATATTTTTTTTATTAGAAAAATTTCAAAAAAATATAAGATATACTATAATAATCAATAAATTATTATTATTCTTGTTTAAAGTATTTTATTTTATTTTATTTTTAATTATATACTATCAGAGTATTTATAAAAAAAAATTCTTTCATGTTAAATTTAATTAAGAAACATGTAATCTAAAATATAATTTAATATTTAATTTAATTTATTTATTGTTTTTTAGTTGAATTATTTTATTGTATTTCTAATTCAAAAAAAATTATTATTAAAAATTTCAAAAAAAAATATTAACTATTATTTTATAATTTTTTAAATAATTATTTTTAAAATATTCATAAAAACTTTAATAACATTTTGTTCAAGGTAAAAAAAAATTCATTACAAAAATTTTAAATTTTTATTAATTAATAATTAAAAAAATAATACAATTAAACTAATTTTTTTATATGCTATTAAAAAAAAAATATTATTGAATTTATTATTTTTAAAAATTTATAAAAAAAACTTTATTATATTGCGTGGACCAAAATAAATTAGATGTAGTATATTATATTAATTACGAGTTCGACATGTCGCAACTTGCAAAAATGGCACCGGAATTATGGGAGACACCTCCACTCAGAATCTGCCGAGTATTGGTTACCGTCACGACATTTTGTTGAATGTGAATAATATTAATTAGACTTATTAATAGTTTTAGAAGGATTTTTTTTATAAATTAATAAATTAAATTTATTAAAAATTATGATGAAGTGTTTATAACATTTTTTAAGTATTTTTAATATCTCAATCAATAATTATAATTATGACTTTTAACTAAAAAATATTTTTTTGTTAAATAAATAAAAAAATATTAGAAATACTCTTTTAACATACTTAATTATTGTTAAAATTTATAGAATAATGATCAAATAAAGGGAAAAAAATCAACAACACATCTTTTAATATATTTTATTATTAATTAATTAATTTTAGAAAAATATAAAATTACGTAAATGTTATTTTTATTTTATTCATCTCACTTATGATTTCATGATTTTCAGTCAATTTAATTGATAATAGAAAATAAATTTAAAAATAGTTTCTCAAAATTTTCCTTTTAAAAAAATTAAATTTTTTAAAACAAATTGAAGAACTAACCATGTTTTAAAAATTATTATCCAAATTTTTTATTTAAAAAATTATTTATTAATTAAATCTTTAATACTTTCACTAACAGATGCTTAGAAAAAATTGTTAACCCACTTTTGATTTGGGAACGGTTTACCGTTAATTGTCGTTTTCCCACCCTAAAGTCTAAACAAATCCCACTCTATGTGATGTGAAATAATTAGTCCCTTAAGCGGGTGACATAACAATGATTACGTTAAATAATAGTAGCGCACAGAAACAGCGATTTTATTTTATATTTTTTCTGTCTGGAAAAAAAAATCTTATCCATAATCCGAATGTTCAATTTCGAATCGCTTCAAACTTTTTTATTTTTTACATTAACTATACTTTTCAATTGTTTTCCGGAAAATGTTAAATTAATTGCAGCTTAATAAAGTCATTTTTATACTCATAACTTGAAATTAAACTTCAATTTAAATTATGATGTGAGTGCAATAAAAAAAATAACACTTATAAAGTTAAAGAATGAAATTATTATTCTCACATGTCTATTTTTTATTTAAATACTATTTGTTGTTATTTTAATTAATCAATGAAAAATAGTTTTATATATAAGAAAGTGATAATAGCTTTCACATAATGTTGTTGGTTGTTGCTAATCTCCGTATTAACTTAAGAAGCCAAAAAGCAATAAGAAACCACTTGATTATGTAAAATAAAATTTGTTTAGAAGTGAATTTAAAGTAACATAATTTTTATAAAAACAATATGTAATAAAAAGTGCACAAACATTAATTATTTTTTTAGAAAATTTAAATATAATTTTATCTCAAGTTAACTCAAATCTAAACATGGACTAAATTTATTTTACAAGGAATCTAGTTGGTAAAAGGTGAAGATAGATTAGTACTTAACCCTAAAAGACTAATTATTGAGTGATATTTAGTTGAACAGGAATGTTTAGGAGGTGGAAAAAAGAAAAGAAATAATTAATGGAAACCGTCAAAAATCGCTTTCGTCCTTTAGCTTCTTCCCATTATTCGGAGAGATGCCTTATCTTTCTTCGTCTTCAACCCATATTAACATAAACACAAAGAAGAAGAACCCCAGCTTCAGCTACCACCCAACCCAACAGATCAGACACTCTTCCCTGCACCCTAAAACTCAAATGATATACTAATTCATTTCAAGAGTAATATATATTTCGCCATAGAATTCAAGCAACAAATAAATCTTCACTTACTATGCAATAGTAAGTTGTCTTTTGCTTCTCCACTTGCTATTGGGATTCCTCATTAGTTATCTCCTCTTTTTTTCTTAGGAATTTAATTACTCGTTTATTTGATTTTTAATTTTGAACAGAGGCAAAATGAATCACTGTGTTCCAGATTTCGAAATCGAAATGGATGACGATGAAGATTACTCAACTCCAGTCTCGAAGAAACCCTCCACGTAATTCTCTTCTCTTTCTCTGTTTCTTTTGTGTTGCTATTATTATTTTGGGGTTAAGTAACCTAAAAGATGACGATCAAAACAGGCAAAACAACGAGATCATGGAACTGTTATGGCACAACGGCCAGGTCGTGATGCAAAGCCAAAACCAAAGACCGTTCAGAAAACCGCCACCGCCGGACACCAAAGCCGGCGACGGCGCCATTCCGGCGAAGGAGATTCGATCTTCCGAAGCACAAAATTACAGTAACCAACACCTCTTCATGCAAGAAGACGAAATGGCTTCGTGGCTTCACTATCCAATCAATGAAGATCCTTCTCCCTTCGATCATCACGATTTCTGCGCCGACATACTCTACCCGCCGCAAAACGTTGCCGGGAGCCAGAATCACAACAGCGCCGCCATTCGAACGGAGGAGCTCCGACATCCGCCACCACCGGTGGCTCCTCGACCTCCGATTCTGCCGGCGAGACGGCCGGAGCAGGCGGCGAACAGGATACAGAACTTCGCGTACTTCTCGAAGCACAGCAATGCTAGGGCGGAGCCGCGACCGTCGTCGAGTTCGAAAGCCGCGGCGGCGCAACCGAAGGTGGTGGAATCGAGCGACACGACGGTCGCGACGGCGGGGCACGCGGAAACCGGTTGCGCCGCTGCGGGGAAAGCGGCGGCGGCGTCTAGCGGCGGAAGGGAGACGGGGACGTGCGATTTGACGTTGACGTCATCGCCGGGCGGTTCGAGCGGAAGTGCTGAACCGGTTCAGAGGGAAACGGTGGTGGACCGGAAGAGGAAGGGAAGGGAACAGGAGGAATCGGAGTTTCAGAGCGAGGTGAGTGAGTTGACTCGTCGAGTTTTTGTTTTTTTGGTTTCGCTTGAGACACGTTCCCTATGCGTTGGCCTCGGCTATCGTGCGCCGGGAGAGTGACGTGGGTTTACGTGAGCACTTACATTCCTATGTGCGTTCAATTCAGCGTATATCTAATTCTAAATCCAACTTTCGGTGTGTGGACATGTCTTTGGTGTCGTTTCTTAATCAAAGCACCATACGCGACGCGGTTACATATGGTTATGCCACGTGTATAGTACAAGATTGAAACTTCAGTGCATCATGTAACCAAGGAGCATGATGAATTTCATGATGCATGGAATGGAAAGGAAAAGCTCATGTGCAAATGTCTGCAATCTTACCATAGAATAATGTTAAATCCCCTACCAAAATTTTTAAATTATCTTTTTCTTTTTTTTTTGTATAGAGTAATAAATATGAAAAATAATCAAATTTCCGGTTAATAATTACTAGAATGAATAGGGAGATGTCATGTTTAGAAAGGTTGTTTACTATATAATATATGCCAAAATTTAAGTGCATTATTATAGACAAGGTTAGTATATTTTTAGTAGTCTTCTTTAATCAAGAGTTTCATTTCAATAAAATGGTTCGGACCTTTGATGTTAGTATGCTTTTAACGCCAATTTTTGGTATGCAGATCGGAAAATAACACTAACAATAGATATGTTGCTGCACGAGTTTTGTGTTAATATATTGCTTGTGTGTTTGATATTGTAAATTGATCCAAAACTAATCCGAATGTAATGGATGCAGTTATTAGCATATCAGGTGTTAATCATAAACTGTTTGGAAACTGACGGTGATAGAATGATTTCATTGACTAAAGAATGAAGTTGATCACTGACTCACTTGGGCTTAGTCGTGAAGTTTGAGTGAGCAGGGAAATAGGTAGAAATCTAGGGTTCAAGTTATGGTACTTTTCAATTTAGAGAAAACAAGGGGAAATGGGACTTCGTACATAAAATTATAAGTTGGCTTCCCATGAAAACGGATTAGCTGACATATAATTAGAGCAGATGAGCCGGATAAAAAATTTAATTGACAATGGCAAATTTGTTGTCCCTTTTTTATATTCGCAATATGTATAACTTTCTCTTATATACTGCTTCTATATTCTTATCTCTGTTGGTTTCACTGCAAAAGGATGTTGATTTTGAATCTCCGGAAACCAAAAGACAAGCTCGTGGTTCTACATCTACAAAGAGATCTCGTGCTGCAGAGGTCCATAATCTCTCTGAGAGGGTCTGTACACATATTGCTTTGATGAGTTCATAAATTTAATGCTGCTTTTCTCATTTTCTGAAAGTTTTCTTGTTGCATTGGCATGCAGAGGCGTCGAGATAGAATTAATGAAAAGATGAGAGCTTTGCAAGAACTTATACCTCGGTGCAACAAGGTGAACAGAATAATTAAATTTCTGCTTCTTTTCCCATGAGGATAATCTGGAATGTACTTCCTTCCTCATAGTTCTTTCTAATTTTTACTTTTTTTTTTTCTGAATTTGATAGTCTGACAAAGCTTCAATGCTGGATGAAGCAATTGAATACTTGAAGTCACTGCAGATGCAAGTGCAGGTAAATTCTTCATTCTTATGGCCTCAAGTTTTGTGTTTTAAAATTGTTCAAGGAGACTGACATATCCTCGCCTCAATTAATACAACCTTATATATAAACAAGATGTTTTGTTAACAAAACATTATCTTCCAGTGGTGGAACGTTCTAACAAGCAAACTACTTGATAATGGTTAATTTACTTGCATCCATCATTTATGAAAGGTATCGGGCGTTGAGAAAAAGCGATGGCAAAACAAAGTAATAAGCTGTTACATTCTTATAGAAAATTTTTTTTGAGAGGAAACTTCATAGAGGTAGGGTGACACAGTCAATGAGGTTGTATTCAATAAAATGTTAGTTAGATGAAGGATTTTAGTATTTTTTATTCAAGCGTACCCATATTCTACAGATGTGGCTCTCTGTTTTTATTACCTATTCTATCGGTCATGTATTATTATGCGTATTTACACTCAATGGTAAATATACTATCATTTGTAACGAGAACAAAATGCAAATTATTTAAGCAGATGATGTCCATGGGATGTGGCATGGTACCTATGATGTTTCCGGGAATCCAGCAGTACATGCCACCAATGGGAATGGGGATTGGCATGGGTATGGGCATGGATATGGGAATGAACAGACCAGTAATGCCATTTCCCAATATGTTAGCAAGTTCAACTTTGCCAGCAGCAACTGCAGCTACTCATTTGGGACCAAGGTTCCCTATGCCTCCTTTCCATATGCCCCATGTACCAATCACGTCTGATCCATCCAGAATGCAAGCAGCAAATCAGTCAGAAAATAATAATATGCAGCTTAACTCACTTGGTACACTGGATCCGGATCAATCACGTATCCCAAACTTCACTGATCCTTATCAGCAATACCTCGGTCTTCAACAGGTGCAGTTACAATTGATGCAGGTAAACTTTGTCCTAAATGTTTTTTCTTTTTTTTTTTCTGATTTTTTTTTTGGCGGCTGGGGACGGGCGAGGGTGAGGGACAATTTGTGAGATAATTTGATATCCATCACATTCCTGCCACCACTGCATATCTTTTCTTGGGGGTATCATGGTAATACCATTTTCTTTTTGTTTTTCTTCTTTTAGAAGATATGTAGCCGTAAAGAATAATTTTACATTTTCCTATGATATCTTTCTATTAATATTCTCACTTATTAGATGAAAGTTTTGAATTTTTTTAGGTGTTCTTTTATTTTAACAGTTTTAGTAATCCCTGTTTGAAGGATTAATTTTAAACATTTAAAAAGAATAAATTTGTATTGAAGAAGATAATATTTTCTTTTTTAATAAAATTTTGTTATATTTAGTTTCTTAAAATCAATGGGAAGAGATTAAGTTAATATTTTTCTTATGACAAAACTTATATGAGGTTCTTTAAATACTGTTAGTATTATTAACCAATTAAAATTAGAGTTTTATTTTAATAAAATGTTTGTATTTAATGTTGTTACAAATTATCGAAATAAACCTCAAAATTTGAATGATAAATAACACTAACAATACTTAAGTAAATGCATCTAAGTTTTGTCTTTTTTTCTTATTTTGAAGGTATATTTTTAGAATACAAGTATACAGAAATAAGATATAAAAGTAATGGTATATAATGTGGATGGATGCTATATGCAGTTGAAAAAATGAAACCTGTTTTTTTTTTTTTTTGTTAGTTTCATATTTAAATATATATGAATACACATTTATTTTAATGCTATAAAATGTAAATTCTATGTTATATCCATGATTACATGTTTTGTAACGTGTTTTCAAATATATACTTATTTCATTAATAAAACTATGCAGGTTTTCAAGTCACATCATAAACAAATTATTTAGAATAATGCTAGTAATATATTTTTTAACATATTGTTAATTATTAACTTAAATTAATGAAATAATGAGTGAAACTCATTATAAATTATAAATCAGAGCAATTATGATTCCTAATAAATTTTAATTATTAATAAAGGACATATTTATTAAAGAGTATACTATTAATAGTTTTTACTTATTTACAAGTTGTGAAAATAAATTATCCTTATAGGTGTCTTAGACATTGAATCTCGATTATATTCCGAAAAACCCAATCGGGCGGAAGAAAACAGAAAAACCCTGAAATTTGAATGTTGCTCAGTATATCTCTTTTATTTTATTTTATTTTATTTTATTTTATTTTATTTTTTGATAAAAGTCTTCCTTCTTTTCTAAATTCGGCACAAAATATGTGAACTCAGGCAATGAACCAACCAAATGTTAGCAAGCCAAGTACCAGCAGGGGCCAAGAGAATCCAGAGAAGCATCAATCAGGTAAATGGCAATTGTGATCTTCTTATTCTAATTTGTCACAAGCTTCCGAAGCAACAAGGTCTGGTTGTTAATAATGTGAAAGACACATGCTATTTTTCAAATCAAATTGGACTGCACTTGCCTTCATATCATCAATAGAGAAGTGATCATGGTGCGATTTTAAGTTGATTGAGAAAACATTATTTATGTACTTATATTTTATACAAGTACTAATAACATTTGTTAGCTAACTCTCTATCTTGCTGGATATTATAAACCACTAATGGCTAAAGTAACGCAATCTTTTCTTGATATTCAGAAGAAACATGATTGGCTGATATTTACAATCTAGCGCTGACAATTCAAATGGTGCGTGCTGCTCACTATTGGATCGCTGGTACCAGTAACTCTCACATTAGGAGATTGTAAGTCTGCAGTGATAGTGAACAAAACACGGATAACTATCATTAACAAAGAACTTGTGCACATGGCAGGTTCAATTTTCCGACATCTAGACAAAAGCTGCTAAGTGGTGTAATGTGTGAGAACTAACTTTTTAGCAGTTCTCATTAGCAATCTAATCTACAAACGGCTAACATGTAAAAACATGTAAATTATTTCCACCCTCAGAGTATTTTTGCCCTCTTCTTTTTGCCATGTAGACTTAAAAAGTTCTTACTATTTTAGAGATTATTTATTATGGGAAGTATAGTTCTTTATACAGTCTCCAATAAACATCGAATCCCTTTCTGTTTAGTTTGGATTGGATTCATATTCATGGTCTGCTCTCCATTTACTATTTACTATCAATATTTTTTTCGGCAGCAAAGACATAACATCAGCCTATGAATGGTGATTATTGATAAAGAAAGTGGAAACAGTTAATTTGCATGACTCTTGGAACTATTCTTCCTGAAGAAGCACGGATATACAAACCAGACATGGATACAACACAGATGATACATGAATAGTGAACACAATAAATTCTAAACTTTATAATATACATCATGATTAACACTGCACCAAAGAAAAAGCTACGACTAATACATAACGTAAGATTAGCATAAATATTACAATAAAAAAAAGGTAAATTTTGTGGCACCTTAAAATTCTTTTATGAATATTGTACTCAAAAAATTTAAACAAATAAAAATGAGACATGGGTCAAGTTAAAAAGTTATTATATATAATTTATTTAAAGTTATATTATTTGCTACATAGTCTTGTTATATATATATAGTATATTTAATCTTTTATTTTATTTTTTTATTTTGTAAATAAAATATAATTTATATTTAAATAATTTTTATTTATTATAAATAAAAAATAATTATAATATAATATATTAATATAATAATTAAATATTATTAATAATGATAGAATTAAGAATATGAAAATATATTAATATAATATTATTATTTGTTTTTTAAGTTTTAGTTAATTTAGTTTTTATTGTATCTTATTTTTATTTAAAAATTTAATCGCTCTCCCGTTTGTTTAAATATAATAACTTATTATTAAATAAATTTAATATAAATTATATTTTATTTAAAATTAAAAATTTATAAATAATATAAATAATAAATTAAATATATATATATATATAATAAGACTATATAGTAAATAATATAACTTTAAATAAATTATATATAATAATTTTTTTTAACTTGACATGTCACTTTTTTATTGATCTAAATTTGTTAGGTACGGTGTCCATAAAAAAATTTTAGAATACCACAATACACACTTAAAAAATTAATATTTCACATATTAAATTTGATTATAAAATTGATACACATTAATAATATTTATTTAATTATGCTGATATTTTATTGGTATTGATACAATAATTTTAAAATTAATTAAAAATCAAAATAATTTAAGAGATATTTGAAACACACACTGGACACCCATACAAACATTTTAACGTACCTGTGTTCTCTAGAGATTTTTTACATCTTTGGGACTGCTGAGTCAATAAAGGAAACAACTAAATTAAAACCAAATTAGAAGTTATAATATTGCTCTACGCAACATATGGTTTCGTTAAATCCGCCGTTTAAAGAGACATTTGAAAAACCTTAGATAATTGTGAAAATAACTTAAATCTCGTAATTTTGTAACTTAATTTAATAACTTTTTAATGTAATTTATCAAAATAAAACCTTTCCAACTTATTATATAAGTTTCATAATCAAATTGTCATAATCTTTTATATAAAAAAATTATTAAATAACCACTGAATTAAATTATTAAGTTCGTTCTTGTAATTCCTCGTCCACAGTTCACGGCTATGATGGTATATCTGAAATAGATTGATAAATTAACTTGAAGTCAAGTGTACGTTTATAGTCCAATCATTCTACTGCTGATTACCTAAATGAACCAACACTTTATAATTTAAAACTACAATAAAATTTGATTACATATTATAATAATTCCATCTTGTAGAATTTTATCTTTTTCTCTGTATCGCGTGTCATTATCAACACAAAAACCGTAGCTTCTCGTCCAGTTAAATGACAATTTCAGCAACTCCATAATTTAAGGGAGCCAAAGGCCACACTCACAATTTTGAATATGTGGTTTACTTGCAAAATCGAAACATGCAAACCAATCTGTTTACCAATAAGAATGAAAGAAAAAGAAATATTAATGGTTGATTCAAAATTTCTCATACATCATTGCTGAATCACGAGGCAGAGCTGTACAACAGATGAAAAAGAAATATGGATTATCCAAAACCTGCAAAATTTTAGAGGTTTATTTGCTGTTCCTTTCATATATCACAAATTCTTCTTTCAGCAACAAGCGCTTGCAGTTAGGGGTTGATGGTTGATAAAATCTGGACACGAATGGAACAAAAGGAAGAGTAAGGCTCAAGACACTTGAAAACTTGAATTTATCCAATGTGACTCAACCCTACAGAGATTTAATATGCAGTGGGGGAGAATGCACATCAGAAGCAGCATAGCATTACCTTATCAGTGAACAAGCGAAATGCTTCCTCTGCCATAGCTTTATCAAGTTCCTAATTGAGTAACACAAATTTTAAAAGAAAATTCTCTGTAACTTCTGTTTGGTGAGTATTAAGACTAGTAATAATGAATAAATATTGGTCAATCCATGATTGCTTGATGAGCAGCTTATTAACCAACAAATCCAAAAGGGGTGAAAAAATTTAGAAGAGAAAGTGAGTGAGAAAAATGAAAGCTTCATCTATCTTACATTCTCTGCATTTGAGGAGCAATCAATATGGTGAATTTGTTCTTGAAGGGCTTTATCATTCAAAGCATCACGAATCTCACTTGAAGATGCTGCAGCAAAAATACAATCACTTTATAAAAAAACTAATCATAGTTATACAACTAGAATTTCTGTACCGTGATCAGGCATGTAGGGAATTCTTAAATTCTTATAATCTTATATACATACAAAAATTACCTATAGCCTCCAGTTGGAATTTTTGCAACACCGCTTTTGCTTTATCAACAACTAATGGCTTTTCTACAAGTGATTCCGGAACAGCAGCTGATGAACAATAGAGAAACATAATATCAGGTCACCAGAGTTAAGAGCAATGACTTATTACATAGAAACTAGTTGCCAAAAACCACAAGTTTAATTCATACTTAAAAAATGTTGACTGCTTTAGTTTGACACCAAACTACAGCACACTTCTAAGCGCTGATAATAAGTTTTTTTAAAAATAACAGTTTGTCAAGAAAACTAACAAGGAAGATGAGTAAAACTGCAGATATATACAAGGTGAGGTAAAGGTAAGGTTGTCATGGAATCAGCCCCTTGCTAATACAAGATATGGCTGCATAACGTAGACCCTTGTGGAGGGTTCAACCTTTCTCAAACCACAAGAATGCCCTTAACTTCAGTATATGCAATCAATGAGGCAGATAATGGGATGGGGAAAAGCGAATCATCATCTTAAATGATGTAATGAAATGAGATGAGCCTATCAATATAAAACAAAAAATATACCCCATGGGAGGAGTTAACAAGGAAAATCCATCGTCACCCTAATGTAGACTACCTCACCAAAGCAGTTAAGGACCTGAATAAAACTCTTGTGGCGTGTTTGGTTCAGAAAATAAACGTAAGTATATCAGTTTTTGATGCAGAACTAGACACACACTTACTTGTTTTGGCCTCCGAAGGTTGCGGTTTCACACAGGGAACCTCTGCAACAAAGAAGTTAAGCCTGATCAATTCGAGTGCCAATGGCATCATATCATGGCTTGGTGATGCAATACAAATTTCAATTGCCCCATTTACAAGCAAAATTATAACATCTCCTGATTATCGTTTGAATGACCAACTAAAAGTCAATAGTAATAAACTAACAATAAAATAAACAAAATCATGCAAGCACTTGATGCTCAAGCAGCACATTAAGATATAATATTTCCAATTCCCTTCATTTAGAAACCAAAGACATCAACCCTTAATAAGTAGACAAATAACGTACCTTTGTGTTTCTTGAAACAGAGAAGAGAACAACTACAAGCAGAAGAAACAATTTTCAAATAATAATAATAATAAATTTGAAGAAAGAAAGGGCAAAAAAAAAGTTAGGGTTTAACTTACTAAGGTAAGTAACAAGAAGGGCACTTGTACTTGGACTGAGCTTCGTTGCAGACTTGACATTGACGAGGACCCATTGAACTCAACCTATAAACCCTAATGCTCTAAACTCAAAAGCGTTTATGCTATCACTTTACTTTGAAAAAGGCAATTGGAAGATACAGCAAACTCATGAAAGGGGCTTCAATCATCAGAACCACAACGATCAAAGACCCCACCACTCAGGTTTAGTTTAGCACTTTTATACCCTCCTCAGTCAAACTCAACAATTGGAATCCTCTTTTTTTTTTTAACGGTTTGTTTACTTGCCTACAAGACGCACCGCAAAAAAAAATAAAAAAAAATCAATAAAAAATATTTTATTAAAAATTATAATATTTAACATATTTTTTACAATACATTATGTTATTACATATTATCTTACGTATTTTTTATTTAAAATGTTTTTTTTTCTATATCACTGGTATTAGAAGACAATTATTATTGAATTGAATAAAGTTATTATAGATAATAATGATAAACTCTTAGAAAAAAATTTATATAATAAAAAAGTCAATATAAAAAATTAATAATTTTTTTCATAGATTTAACTTCTTTAAAATTTGAAAAATTAATTATTTTTAACTTATAAAAGAAACTTTATTTTTTTTATACTAATTTATTCATCAGGTAAGAAGTTTATCCAAAATGGATTAAAGTTTTTTAAACTATTTAATGTAATTATATTTTTAGAGATTCAAACATAAAATTGGAATAACATCTATTGATAATGGGTTTGATGATTTTAACACGCTTCCAAATATTAATTAAAAGTTATAAAAAAATATAATTGAAAAATATGGTAATTTTTATTAAATTTTAATTAATAAATTAATCAGTTCTTTAAAATTTGATAACGTAAAAGCATTTGACTAATCTATTATCACTTTTCCCACACAAGCTTCACTTATGTCTCAAAATCCATTTGAGTATAATCTGCAGGCTACACAGCTGAAGAATGAATTTTTCACAATTCATGAGAAAAAATTTCTGTGTAGGACGTGAGTAGCGGAAACGGAGACCATATGATTCCTGATCACAAAAAAAAATGATCCTGGGGAAGCAGATTCTGTAGACACTAATAACTTGTACAGAAAAGTTGTAATATATGGAACGCGTTTGAAAGAAAAATCAAACCCATCGATTGTCAAAGACAAGTGATCATACGCATTAACCAACTAAAATAAAAGGTGACTTACACATTACACTAGTTCTTTTTATCCCAAAAGTCATACATATCCCACCATTGATCCCCATAATGTCCCAAGAAAAATTCAACGTTGCTTCATGTTCCTAATCACTTAATCAGCCAAATTATTCTCTTTTTCCACTAAGTTAACGGATGGAAGATAAACAGTTGTGGAAAATCAACCAAGATTGAAAACAAATTGATTTGATAAGCGGTTCCAATAATGGAGGCGAAGGTAACACCAACTCTAGAGAATGACACAAAAAGAAAAGTCTATGAAGCATCACTAAATGGCTGCATAAGTACCTTAAACAGACTGATCCAAACCCACCCTCTTATTCTGAGCAAAGTTTCAGTCTCTCCCTTCACTGACACCCCATTACACATAGCCTCTTTACTTGGACATTTGGAATTCTGTGAGATTCTTCTCAAAAGAAAACCAAGTTTTTCCATTGAAGTGGACTCAGAAGGACGTTGCCCTCTTCATCTTGCTGCTGCTGAGGCCACACTCAAGTTGTGAAAGCTCTTCTGTTGACAAACCCAGATGTTTGCAGGGCTCTGGACAAGATGACAAGCTTCCTCTTCATTTAGCTGCAATGAGAGGACGCGTGGGAGCTATTCAAGAGTTGATCAACGCTAGGCCTGACTCCATTCAACAGTGATTTATGATGGGTCTGTTCTACACTTGTGTGTTTGGTATAATCACTTGGAGGCCTTGAAATTCCTTCTGCAATTTGCCAGGGGGAACCAACAGTTCCTTCTTGCCAAAGACAAAGAGGGTAACACTGTTCTTCATTTAGCTGTGAAGCTCAAACAAATTAAGGTAATATTTAGAATTTAAAGCGTGTTTTAATCAATAACTTAATTGAACACTTATTCAATAAACTATATTATATTAGAGTTTATTCGAGACCTTGACTCAGAAGTTTATTGAAATAAGTAAAAAGAAAACTTATTGTTCCAATAGACGCTTTCAATTGCCTCATTAGTACTCACCAGTTTTTTTAAGTAGCAGAATTTCTCACATGAATACATGAGGTCCAAGTAATTCAAGAGAAACATGACTTGAGACAATAAATACAATATTTCCTCTTGTTTAGACAATATAGTAACTCTTTTTTGTATAATTTTGCAGACTATAAAATACTTGCTTATGCTACCTGAAATAAGAACCCAGCAAATGCTGTAAACAAGACAGGTTTAACAGCTTTGGAGATGTTGGAGCAGGGTCCAAGAGATTTCATAAGCCTAAAAATTGAAGACATTTTAACTGAAACTGGAGTGCAGGGGCTTGCTGTTGCTGCACACACAGCTACTACTGGCAATGCACTACAACAAAGGTCATCACCAAGCATCACTAGTCAAGCAGAATCACCATCACATAAATCCAATATAAAATAAGTGTGCGAGAAATTCTGGTTGAAGTACTTACAATACCAAAGTAATTGGATAGAAGAAAAAAGAGGGACATTGATGGTGGTGGCCACTGTAATTGCCACCATGACTTTTCAGTCAGCAATAAGCCCACCAGGTGGAGTTTGGCAAGAAGATACATTAACTGGTCAATTGCACCACTTATGGCATTTGCAAAGCAGGCACTGCAGTTTTAGCTTATGATTGGTCACATGGCTTTCTAAAATTCATGACCTTCAACACTACGTCTTTCTTTTCATCTCTATGTGTGGTGTTACTACTCCTAAGTGGATTTCGCCTTGAGAATAAGCTCATGATGTGGATCTTGACCATTGCTATGACTTCGGCACTCACATTCACGGGTCTCACATATATTTGGGCACAAAGTTTGGTGACCCCTGATCACATTGTTGATAAAGTTAATAGGATGGGTCTACCTTTGTCTATTGTTTGGGTAATCATACTTTTACTTGTTGGTTTGAGTCATCTGGTTCACTTGGTCATGTGGATAAAGAAGTGGAAGAAGCAGCTTCTACACACCTCAAAGCACTTGCCCCCAAGAATTGGTCCATTGGGTCAGAATTACCCCATTTGAAGTTTACAACACAAAATAATTCTGGTATATCGAGTTCTATTTGTTAGAGAAATAAGATTGTGACAACAAATGCATAAAATAATTTTGATCGGATATGATCACCACATGGATGCTAAAATAATTCAATTGATGTGAGCAGTTTGCATGTAAGCATGCTTATTATTCATATGAATGAAAGTTTAACTAACATAAAAGGCTTTTTTAAAAATAATTCAACTGCTGTGAGTAGTTTGATCAATAATATTTCAAAATAATTACGTGTAATAATGCTTTATCCTTTTCACTGTCGGCGCTGTTTCGATTATAAGCTGTTCATGTATCGCTGTCACTGCCAACTTAAATACCTTGACTTTTCTTTCAGTTAAAATAAAATTACCTGCGATTTTCTGTAGAAATCATAATCCTAGGGATCGAACCATAAAACTTGGAGATTTGGGGATTATACGTGCAAAACCTGTGTGTTCGGAATCAAATTCCTTGTTGATATACTAGCCTAGGACATGTGCTACCAACACACTCTTCGCTTTATAAGGAGATAGCAAAAATGAGAAATAAGTATACCCTAATATTTTAGGAATAACATTAATGCAATAAAAATTGTTGTTATCAATTTGTTTTAGTCCTATATAAATAACTAATAAGCGTTCCTTTCATTGCAAAGATATTTTAAATTACTAACATGCAATGCACTTTTTTCATAAGCAGCTCCCCAGGTCTCTATGCTATACCCTCAAGTCGAAAGAATTAATCCATCACAAAAGTCTGTTTTAAACACCACGTTCTTATCATTAACTGTGCTAATTCAAGGGCAGTAAGCAGAGTTTCTCTACAAGCATGCATATTTTTAAATGAATGAAGGGCTGAGGGGAACGACCTCCTTTGTATAGAATATGAATCAATTTCCAAAATCAATTAAAACTAATCGAAAACAATATATATTGAATTAAAAAAAAAAAAAAAAACATAGTTGAGATTTAAAGCCCCCATAATACAAATGTCATCTGTTCGCATAATACAAATGAATTTGCATTTGTTTGCATAACAAGAACATAAACAAAATCCACAATAAAAAGAACGAGGGCTGGGGATGATAAGGGATGCTATTTTACATATACAGTCCTTCGGGCACCCCTTCTTTCTTCTTAAACATCACTTTATCCTTTGCCTTCTTAAAGTCGGCATGAGTCACCTGAACAAGATAGAAGAAAAAAGTAATATTAAGAAAATTTCATAAATTGAGGGAAAACTTCTTCAAATAATATACGATACAAACCAAAAGAAAATATAAACAAATTATACAAAAAAAAAATAAAAAATCGATATGTAATGATCGGATTTACTGCAGTAAAGTACAAATTTAACAGCGAGTGTGTGCTCAAGATACCAATGAAACGTAAATTCTTTGGGTAGAAAAAGTTTAGGGGAAAGGAATGTTCAGGTCAGGACAAGCCTCGGCAAGAGCTAATAGTAATACTTATGACTAACAATGAAGGACCTTCAGTGACACCGTTTCTTATGAAAAAAGCAGGCTTACTGCTTTAAAGAGGCAACAAGGAGTACTTCCATGATATTATAATAAATTAAAACAATTAGTTGACCTAATCTAAATAAAGTACATTACCTATCTTCAGCCTGCATATTTCTTCTGCTCAAAAAATATTACGAGTAAACTTCATAGATTTCATTCACTATAACACTATTCTTATAAAGAAATAAAGGAACTCCACTATCTACTCTTAGTTGTTTGCAATGCAGGGAGAAGTTTAAAAGAATATGAAACTGCCACTCATCCTTTAATGGTGTAAGCTGCCAAACTTCAGAATGCTTAAACTTGAAGAAATCAACCTGTACTATAGTTTTGTCTTGGCTTAATATATTCAGGCCATATAAAAACGAGCTTGTCAAATTTAGCTACTTCCACAGCAAAGGAGTACTATTATTGTATAAACAATAGAGCAGAAGAGAACTCTAACCTTCATCCGCCGTTCTCGTAGAGCAAGTAAACCAGCTTCAGTACATATTGCCTTTATATCAGCTCCAGAGAATTCATCTTTAGTCATAACAAATTCTTCCAAGTTGACATCATCAGCTAATGTCATCCTTGACGTGTGTATCTTAATTTCAAAGTGTGAGGTCATTTAGGCATTTGATCAACCAGAATATGCATAATAAGATATCACATAGAATCAGCAGCAACGACGTTCTGTGTATTTGAATTATAGCCTATTTTGGGAAAATAATGCCTTTATAACAGCTTCCTAGTAGAGCTTTTAGAAAAAAGCAATTATTTCCCATAATTCATTGCTTGTGTTAACTTAAGAAAAAGTAATAATGTATAATAGCTTTCTTTTTTATCATTTTTCAGAATTTACTGTGTATGTTTGGATTAGCTTATTTTGACGAAATAATCATTTTTTTTATCTTCCTAAGAGTTCTTTTTTCAAAGAAAAAGTGACTGTTTCCCATCATTTGTGTTCCCAAACAAGTTCTATTTTTGTCTTACGAGCAAAGCAATAAAACAGCTTTGAGGTATGCTTAGAACACACTCACTTATTGGTTGAAATATATTAAAAAGTAAAAACTACAAAAACATGAATGAATATCATTAAATAAAAAGTGGGATCCACATAATTTTTGTGATTCTCGATAAATTTTAGCTAGTAATAAAGATTTGTGTTGCTAGCATTGTGCAAACTACTTTTCTTTAGGCTTTTATTCTTCAAAAAAATTACACAATTATTATAAATATTTATACACATGTTTTAAATTTTTTAAAAAAGAACTTTTTCTTTAAAAGAAAAGAAAAAATGGACCAGGCCCTGAAGATTTCCCAGACATATATTGCTTTCACAAAATTAGCCATGCCTACCTGGAAAATGCGCCTCCTTGTTTTGATATCAGGAAGTGGAAATTCTATCTTCCTGTCAATTCGACCAGGTCGCAGCAAAGCTGGATCCAGACTTTCAATTCTGTTGGTTGCAAGAATCACTTTTACATCTCCTCTTGAATCAAAACCATCTAACTGATTTAGCAACTCTAACATGGTCCTTTGAATTTCACGTTCTCCACCTGAGTGAGCATCATACCTGTAAAATATATTTACAAGTAAAATCATGAATGTACAAAAAGAATCCAATGAACTCATAGAGTGATATAAGATATCACTCTTTCACATTTGCCAATTGCCACACTGCCAAAGTTGGGGGTTCATATTACCTCTTTGTACCAACTGCATCAATTTCATCAATGAAGACAATAGAAGGAGAAAGATCATCAGCAACTCTGAAAAGTTCCCTCACAAGTTTTGGACCATCTCCCAAGTATTTTTGTATCAATTCACTACCAACAACACGTAAGAATGTTGCGGATGTTGAGTTTGCCACAGCCTGAATCCGCAAAAGGCATTGTCTTAGACCTAACTGATCGTGCATATGTGCTTGTGTAATACATTACAAGCTATAATTGCAAAAATATAGATCATACAGTAAGACACAGTTCAGATAATGCTAATATGAGTTATATCTGTGCAGGTCAGACATTATTTCCAGAAAAGATCAAATAGTATATAAATTTAAATTGTGAGTTTCTTTTTTCCAGACAAATAGTTCTGTTTATTCCGAATACAAACTATAAATTTCTAATACAGTAATGTCAACCACCTGGAAGGGTTAAACAACTTTAAGGGGAAGGGTTAAACAACTTTGTGATGGGACTGTCCCATACTTCTTCTCCCAAATCTATAGTATTCAGCATACTCAATTGCATGTCAGTGAGAAAACCACCCTCACAAGAGCACATCGAAGTATTTAAAAAGCCAACACACACAAGCAAACACACAGGATAAAAACCACCTTTCAACGTGGGTATTCAATATCAATATAATATTAGTCATAATTAACAGTGTCATCTTTGTGTATTTAGGAATTTAAAATCTAACACACACACACTTTCATTTGACATATAATAACCATTTCATTGTGACATCCAGTAATAATAAGCCACTAAGCCACACACAAATAGCTGGAAAAAAGAGAATTTCTGAAAGTAACATGATAAACAAGGAAGACACGGATATTGATTTCATATAATACAGATAGGATAATCACACAAATCTCTTTTTTCCCATATATATTAGAGAAAAGCATTTAAAACTTCATAGTATTGACTCATTGTGGAGCATTTTCAGCACATTAGCTTCAAGTTAAAGGAAGTGAAAAGGGGAAAATCAGAGACAGAAAAGGAGGTTCTGAAACTCTATTTCAACAGCCCTATAGAAAACAGAGATAATGCAAACCTTGGCAAGCAAGGTCTTCCCAGTTCCAGGTTCTCCATATAATATGACCCCCTTAGGTGGCTTGATACCTATGTCTTCATATAGTTCAGGATGAGTCAGAGGCAGCTCAACTGCTTCTTTAATTTCCTGTATCTGGGCATCTAAACCGCCTATGTCAGCATAAGATTCCAAAGGAGCCTTCTCAACCTTCATGACAGAGACCATTGGATCAACTTCATCTTGAAGAAGCCCAACAACAGAAAGAACCTGATAAAGAAAACCATACATAATCATTATATCACCAACATCAAACCATACCAAACCAAGAGATGACTAATTCAATTAGACAAACAACAATTATGTCAAGTTTGAGATCACATCACGGTTCTAAAGCATACTTCCAATTCAACAACAACAATTCCCACTCTCTTTACAGGTCCAGATCACATTAAACTCGTTACTACTCCAAAAAGGATAGAAATACTGTCAACAGCCACGCCACACACAAAAACTCAAAACAATCCAATACATAGTTACATATTCAAAGGCTCTCAAGTCTCGACCAATTAACACCAAAACCTCAAAAGGTTTAAAACCCAACGAGATATCCAACATATAAAACTCCAAGCTCTAAATCCATTAAACCCTAGAAGCTACAGAATCAGGTATATTCCAATAAACAAGCAAATTAACACATTTCATTCGAGAAATGAGCACTGAAAAAAGAGCAAAATTAAACCTTATTATGCATCAAAATAGCACAGCCAGGCTCTAACTGATCCTTATCGACGAAAGACAAGATTCCAACGTAATACTCGGGTCCGACGGAGGAGGAAACAATAGCGTGATTCTCATCGATAAGTTCTTCGAGGTTACCAACGCTCATTGGAGAACCTCGAAGATCGTCGACCTTGGATCTGTCTTCTTCGGCCTTCTCTTCCTGAGGCTTGAGTCGTTCCTGATTAGCCACGAACTCTTCTTCCATCAACAGATAGTCCTTGATTCGCTCAAGCTTCAATAGCCTCAGCTTGCACTTCGTCAGCGGGGTCACCGTCGGCAACAGAGCCGCCGCCTCCGGACCCTTCTGTTTCCGCTGTTTGCGGCCAACTCGTGCCGGCGGCGCCGCCGGCTCGAACTTCTTCTCCTTCTTGTCGCCGCCGTCGGATTTCCGGTCGCCCGGCAGACCTTGCCGATTTAGACCGCCCGGAGTTCCCTGACCCATTCGATTCCCAAATTGAACGGTGAAGTGGGGGTTCAGAACCTTTTACAGTGCTGAGTGTTAGGATTTACGAATAAGGATAATTTTGTGATATACTCAAATAATCTTGTGATGTACTCATCTTAGTCAATCACAAGTCATTGCGTGGTAAAGTAGGTTAAAATTTTCGTTTTGTTAATTAAATGTAGGTTTAATTACATTTCTCATCCCTCTAATTTAACATATGTCCGATTTTGGCTTCTTAATTTTTTTCAAGAAAAATAAATCTGTATTTTATTCAAATATTTAACAAAATTGTGAAAAATTTATCATATGAAACAATTTTAAATGTTAACGATAAAAAAAATTACAAAAATTTCAATAAAATTTGAAGAAAACATAACATCTAAGATAAAAATTTGGAGAAAAAATTAAATTTTATATATTTTGATTAAAATTTGATATTTATATTTATTTATTTTGAAGAAAAAATAATTGAATTGATTTAATTTATTAAGTCTGAGTAAAAAAATGAAAGCTAAATAAATATTTTAAGTAGAAGAAAATTAATAAAGGGATTAAATTAATAAAGCTAAATAAATTTTTTTGACACCTAATCAAAAAATAATCTACTAACACCCTAACTAATTTGATAATATTTTTCTCTTCGAAATACTTGCATGTAACACATAAAATGTGTAGTTAAAATTCGTTACTCTTTGAAAAAGGCTATCGAGGGATGGTTCAAAATTCACATACTACTCTTTCCTTTTTTCAGTCAATAAATTTGATTGGGCTTGGGCAATATCAAATCTTATTTGGAATGCATCAATTTTAGTGAACTTTTTTCTTTTAAATGAGCATTGCGGATTCAGAGCAGAAGTGTAATAAAACAATTAGTTTCAAGTATATAAGTATGAGCTCTACAATTAATGTGTTCCTCTATACTCCCTAACCACGTTTATTATCCAAAATAATTAGTGTGAAATATCGATGCACCAGTAGCTGAACGCTTTAAGCTAACATTCCAAAACAATCATATTTTGCTAATTCAAGACTCATAATCATGCTTAACTTTGTCTGTTTCGGGAAGGCTTGACAATCCTTGAGACCTTAATACGTATATAGTAAAATTCCTAAGACAAATTAGCAGTAACTATTTATGAATAGAGAGTAGCTGATGGATTAGTGGATATTAATTTACTATAAAGCACTCTAATTTTTGTATTTAATTGGAGTACCTGTGACTTATATTGTTCTGCTAACATCTTTGCCAGTTGCCAGTGCTGATAACTGTTAAGGGTAAAATGGAGCCATTGCCATTCAATCCTTTCACCAAACGTATTAATTAACAACACTATACTTAGCCTCATTATAAGAAGCTGCTAGGGCAACATAGTTGACCAATGTTTGTAAAAATTTTAATGGTTACTTAAAGATATAGATTAAGAAATAGTACATTTTTATTAAAAAGTATAGTATTCAGTGTTATTAACTAATAAGTTGTGTTTTGTAATACTTTGTTATTTTTAATATAAAAAAAATTATTATACACATGCTTTTATTGTATGCCATTCAACATATGTTAAAAAAAATTATTTTAGCTTAAATTATTTATCATTTGAAAACATTTAATTGTTTTTACATAATATCTATATTTATTGGTACGTTTCGGGATATGCATGAAGGCCACCTCATAGAACTACGTAGAGAATATGAACTGATGGCATAACCCCTCCTTTAATACTCCAGACAAGAGTGTAACAAAACAATTAAAGCATTACAGTATTACACCGGCCTTGTTAGCATACTTAAAAGTTTTTCACATTTGAGAAAATTAATAATATACTTTTTAGACATGTTTTTGAATTTTTTATTACAAATTGTCAATTTATACTATATGTGTTTATTTTTAAAAAAATAGTGTTTATTTTTTAAAAAATAGTATGTTATTGACATTTCTTATTTGCATATATGAGGGGACCGGTGTACTTGTACATCAAAATCTCTTCCTCCGATTAATTTATTGGAAATAAAGTTTTGATAATGTATAGAAGGTGTCATTCAACAAATATTAGTTTTTACCCTTTTTTTAAATGTAATTATTATATAAAATTCATTTTAAATACTCTTTCTATTTCTTTTTACACATTTACTTAAGAAAATAATCCATAGATTAAAGAAAAAAATCTAGTATCCAAAATTTTATCAATAATATTAATGTTAGTTTTCTTACATGACTTATACTATTATCTCTCTCGTATTCGTAATAAGTATATAAAAAAGGACATAATTAAAATATAATAATTATTATTGTTTTAAACTTTTAATTAAATAAATATAAAACATAATTTATGTCAAGAATCCATTAAAAAGCGAGTAATTTCAAAAGATAAATGTTTCCTAATAACTTAAACACAAATTAAAGAATTAAAAGTAATTTTTTTTATTTAACACCTACACTTCTTTTAACACCTAAAAGTAATTTTTTTAATTAACTTTTCTAACGTTGCTCAATAATCTAAACACACGATTATATATATATGTATATTAAATTGATTGATTAATTTTTAAGAAATATCATTAGAACATCGATTACTAAGATCCCATTCATAATGATATCCCGACAAATTTGTTAATTTGGATGTCTCATATAAATACATGGAATTTAAATATGACAAAGAAAGATCACAAGGGTTTGATCTTTGAAGTTTCTTTTTATAAATTTAAAAAAAAAAAAAAACGATTTTTCAACATCAACTTAACCTCTACGGCATTTGGTTTATATCCATTCCAAATGAACTGCGTGTTTTAGCTGCTTAAGTTTGTACGATGCCTTCACTTGGCCAAAATTGCAACATCGCCTCAAACTGTTGTTAGCTAGCATTGTCGTAAGAGAAGCTTGAATCAGTATTTCGTTGATAGAAAAAGGTTATAGGGAGAAGCATCCACATCCATATTACAAAATTTATATGCTTTAATTCCAAATGAAAATACGCATCCCATTAGACTAGCAGAACCATGCATAACACACACTCATTACAAACCACACTAGCACTACTACTGTTACTATTCTTCCTACCATGCAAGCAAAGCCTAGATTTCTTAGATCATAACACATCACGCCACCGTTATTTTCTTAAATGAAAGAAACATCAAGTTGTGTGGTTTCAAGGGAGAGGAAGATTGGCACCAGGCCCACCACCATTATCAGGGCCTCCGAGCCCGCCAGGCCCACCGAATCCTCCAAATCCACCTATTCCAGAAGGCCCCCCGAGCCCACCGTCAAACCCAGTACCCATTCCTCCAAAAGGAAGGCCATTGTTGCCAACTCCTGAAAAACCGTAGCCCATGAAGTTCTTCTGCTCCTCAAAACCAACGTCACTGGGCATGTTTCTTGCACTGGCAACCACCGCCATAGCAAGAACCACCAAGATGCACCACCACCTTGCCATTTCTCTTTAGTCTCTACACTTGCTTATCTCACTGTCTTATACACTCCACAGTGTGCACTTTATGTTGTTGCTTTTTCACTTGGTACTAGTCGTGGTAAAACTCTGCTTCGGATTCTCCTTTTTATAGGGAGTAAATAAGAATGCTATTGGAGTAGTTGAGCATATAGTAAATGAAACTTTAATGCCATTGCAAAGCCTTGCTGTCACCAAGCATATTACACACATTATTATTATTGGATGCACAAATATTTAATAATAACATTTACCATTATCGTTTTCTATATGATATATCGTACACACACACAAGTATTTTTTATGGGAGAATTTATATTTTTTAGATTAATATTAATACATGTATCAAGCAATGAAATGTATTGAAAACTCTTTGCATTATGAAGTTAGCTAGCGACAACTTAGAACGAAACGTTCATTTCATTATTACCTAATTTGTTCAAATTATTCTAAATCTGTGGAATGTTTGTTCTGTGTATCAAATATGACAAATTTTGTGAATTTAATAGGATACATCTATGGGGATTAAAGCGACAGTTGTGCTCTGTATTCACTCTTTCTCTTTCTCTCTCTAGATCCTTTTTTTTTTCTTATTTCCTATTTTAAGTCATACGAAAATACAAAAGTGTCTCGTGCAATTAAAACGTAAAAAAATTTTAAAAAACTAAAGGAAATGGACTTAATAATTTAAAAATATTATATTGATAATAAACATATATTTACTTTTTTTGATGTTGATCTATTCGTAATTATTAATTCGAGTCTTCATGCTTGAATAAGGGTAGTATTAAGAGTTATTTTCATTGTCATTAAGTAATATCACTTCTCTTCCACTAAGTATTTAAAGTTTTTTTATTGAATTTTAATTTTTTAAACACTATTTTCAAATCTAATTATAATTTTAATTAAATTGCATATATCTTTCATCTTAAAATGAATAAAATTTTAAATCATTATAATTACAACTACGTTTTAGTAAAGATGATGCATCATTATTTTAATAATTGTTCATAAATTTTTATTCAATTTTAAAAGTTTTATTTTTTATATTGGTCCTATTAATAGTAAAAATATCTATTATTTTTAATTTTATATTTATAAATTTATTGAATTTTAAAATACTCATACAATACCAAAAAAAAGTTTCTTTTATAAATACTTTATTGTATAATATTAATAAAGTATTTTTTACTATTAATTTGAATTTTAAAAAATATAAATTTGTCTTAATTGAATAATTAATTTAATGAAAGAATTATATAATAATATTTATCGCAAAATAAAAAAATGTAATACTTAAAAATGAGAAGTACATATAAAAGTTATCGCGTTGTGAAAAATAATAACTTGCATTTATAATGTAAGATTTGATAGCTCCAAAATTGTATATTTCAAACTTGGTCGTCGTTGACATTGGGCCCAAACAAAGTAGTTGAGGAAACTTTATGACAATTGAGTCTTGACACACTTTTTACCTCATATCAAACTCAACTCAGTTACTCAAAACAACCATAAAAGGAAATCTTTTAAATCCGAATTAAAAGAAAAAAAAAGCTCATTTAAGATTTTAAACACTTGATTCAGTAAAATTAAGAATAATAACACAAATTAGTGTTCTACAAATTGTTTATAACAAATAAATGTAGCTGTATAGTATAAATATACGTAGGCAGCACCAAAAAAGCAGTTGCAAGCTATAATAAAATAAAAAAGCTACAAATTAGAATAATGAAATACCTAATAAAACTGTTAACTATAAAAAAATGCAAAAGAAAACAAACGGCTTCACATACTAAAAATTTTACGTTAGAGTAATTTTGTTAATATAATTTTTACTTTAACTATTTTATATTAATTATGTGATACATTGTGTTAATTTATGATTTTATTGTTATAAAGATTACAAATTATATAACAAATAATATATCATATTTGTAAACTCAACATTTTATATTAACAGATTATTATAATTTAGATAGAATTATACTAACAAAAACTATTATGTTGCTTAACATTTTTTTTCATCCATTGTAGACCACTAATTAACAATCTCTAAGGCAGTGATTTTTTTTAACGGTTCTGTAAATCTCCGTTTCTAAAATTGATTTTAAGCATTTAAATATAACATTTTTTGTTAAAAAAAATATTTATTATTTATTTATTTGTCTTTAATTTTAAAGATTAAGATTTTTTTTAAAAAAAGTAAGTATTTTAAAACTAATCTTTAGTAGAATTAACGATCAAACAAAGTCGAAATTAAATATATTTTATGCCTTTATAATCACTTTTCTGCAAAAATTACTGTAAGATTAATTATTCAAGTATCATCGTAATTTAAAAAAAAAAGAAACATGTAATAGTAACTCGTTCACATGTTTTTCTAGTTATTATTAAATATTAATGAAAATTTTATGTCTTTTGTAGTTTTTATTAAATTAAAACAATTAATGAATACACAGTTAAAATTATATTATATGAATAATTTTTAAAAAAGATTACTATGATAACTATTTTTAAAAATTATTTTTATTTATTCATGTAGAAGTTTAAAATAATATTAAATACTTTTATTCTATTATTTTTTATTTGTATGAGTTACTTATATTATTTAAATAATTATATCAACAAATCAATAATTAACTAAAGTATATTTTTGTCCTTCAAAATATTTAAATTATAATTTTTGTCCTCATAAAAAATATTATAGTTATTATATCTTTAAAAATTACTAATTTTAGTCCATTTCATTCATGAAATTTTACAAAAGAAGAACATGTGACACAATTTCATACGTTACAACATTTAAATTTGTTACATCGTCGATTAATAGTAACTAAAGTTAACATAATTTTTAAAAAATACAAAGACTACAAAAATTATAAAATTTAATTTATTCCAAAATAGCAAAAAAAAATATTTAAGCTTTGATTATTTTTTATGTGTAATTTATTTTTAAATAAATAAATAAAAATAAAATCAGTATTAAATAAGAATAAGTGAATATTTTTTAAATATAAATTATAAAAATAAAATCTAAAATCTAAAATATGATTAAATAAAAATAAATAAATGCTAAATGTAAAAAAAAAAACCTGTGAAAAAAACTCATAAAAATATCCTCATTCAAGAAATACAAAACACTGTCATTTTAGAAGAATAACTCATTTAATTTTTTATAAACTCAAACTTTGATCTTTCAATTCTAACAATGAGATACTTTTGACAAATAATATTTTAAGAAAGTAACTATTAACCTTCTTATCAAGTATTTTCGTGTCTATTATCAATAATTAAGAGCACGGTAGAGTGCTGATTTATAAATTTTAGTAGAATGATTTGATTTTACACAATCAACTTTTAAGTGGTAATTTAAAGCAATTATTTATATTTTGGTTATAAATTTAATTTCCATTTTTATTTATCTAACTAAAAAAAATACATGCACATTGCGTGGGATATTTGCTAGTTAGTTTATAGCTATTTGTAAAGAAATTTTGGCTACTAATGTGTAAAATATATAAAAATATAACTATTAGTGACATAAAGAGAATGAGTGATGCCCCACCAGAAATGGAACTGGTTAGTAACAACACTAAATAAGCTGGTCCCTAATTAAGCACCACCAATCACCTTTACTACCATAGCTGGGTCTCTATGCACCACCTGTTCCCACATTAAAGCATTTTTTTGTGAGCACATCTACATCTGTCATGTTTATTAATACTTTAGTTATTTAAATCACTAAAAATTAAATTTAAATATGCTAATATTGATAAGTAATATAAAATAATACTATTAAAAATAAAATATATTAAATTTTATTGATAGGCTTTATAATTAATTGTGATAAATTTTTATTTGGTAAGTTTCACATCTAAAAATCATCATTATTTTTATCACTCACTTATATATATAGAACATTCCTTTTTGTGCATTTGATTCCTTATATTAAAATCTTATAGGCACTAATATAGCAACTCAAGCTTGTATAACAATAGATTTATCATATAATAAAACTCAAGCATATATAACTTAAGAAATAGATTTAGTTTTTTTATAGTGAAGAAAATTTGTAAAATAAAAAATTAATTAATTATTAATTTAAAAATTGTATAAACTCAACTATCTTAAATAAATAAATAAAATAACTCTTTCACTTTATACATCTTTTTACTTAAAAAAATAAACTTAATTTCTTTCTAGAAATATAGAAAGAAATGGGCAAACCAATGGTGGTGCGTGTGCAGTGATTTATCATAATAATAATTGCTATTAGATGTACCCATTTACAATACCACCTTCCCTAGTTGCCATCGTTCTACTTGTTTCTTATTTTTCTTCCCAGCTTCATCTCTCAATCAGTAGATAGGAGCAAAATATAGCAATAAAAGTATTGAAGATTAATGCCCCATCGTATGTAATAATTATAAACCTAAAATAGTGGGTAATTTTCACGTGTTTGCCTACAGAACTAGACAAGTATTATATACATGATAGTAAATTATCTTTACTTTAGTTGTTAAATGGTACTTTTTATACTTTTTAAAAATATTTTTAAATTTTAATTTTAATTTTTGTCTATTTTTTATATCACATTTCTATATTTTTTGAACTTTTTCTATTCTTTAGCCTTTCAATTTTTTACATTTATCATTTTGCAATTATATTCTTATTTTCAAGTAAATAACAATAAAAGTGCGTTGATTTTTAAATATTATATAGTAAAAGAACTTTTTCTATTCTTACCTGGAAGTATTATTTCTTTCATTTTTTTACAAGTTTGAACAACAAATACTTAAACATTAATTTATTTTATGTATTTTATTAGTAACCCATTTCAATTTTATTTATATTTTAATAACAACAAATTTTTATTTTTTTTTTTATAAATACATAACATGACCAAGAAAAGAGAGATCTAATAGAAAAAATAAAAGAAAAGAAAAGGGAGATCTCGTTTAGTATAATATAAGATGAATGTTTATAGA